CTGCTGAGCAGACCCTTCCCCACTCAGCCCCAACCTCTATCCCCACACTTCCTGCCACACCTTGGGCTGTGAAGGCTAGTTGCAGCCATATTCATCCTTTCCCCATTCCCCAAACACACAGCTTTTTTTTTCTTTTTCTGTTGTTTTTGGTTTTGTTTTTGTTTTTACCCTGTTTCCTTTATTTCTTTCTCTTTCCTGGAACCAATTAAAATCTTGCCTCCTCCTACACCTCCCCCCACTCCGAGACACAGGTGGGGGTGCCCGCCCTGCCTGCTCCCCCGAGGTCACACAGCATTGTACATGCCAGAACACAGCTCCATCGGTCTGGTCCCATTTCACTGTGAGCTCATTGAGGGAGCTACTTTCTCCCAAGGAGACTTCACAACAAAGGCTATGCTGGGGTGAGAAGCTACCAAACCCACACACTCATTTATTTATTCATCAGAACATCACTATTGGTGTTCTATTATGTGCCTAGTACTGGGACGCAGCAGAACGTCAGTTCTGGTGTGCTATTGAAGTAGTGCAAAGCTGGTCATCTCAACACAGATTTCAGGGAACCAGCAGTTAGTGTAATGGCTATGTCGCTGGACTCCCATGTAGTCGACCGCGGTTCGCGTCCCGGACCCAGTGGCTTAAAACTCACGCCGGGTGCGTGTGCGTGCGTGCCCAAGATCCCGAGAGGAGAATGGAGGAGAAGGGATTGCGGCATGACCATCCCCTCTGGGGGGTGATTTCTCACTTTCTGTCTCTATGTCTCTCTCTGTCTGTCTGGCGAGCGCACGCACCCTATAGCAAAAAAACTCTCAAAAAAAAAAAGAAAAACAGATTTCAAGTTTCAGTGGCCCCTTGAACCCATGGGATGGTACAGACACCAAAAGGCCAGAAACGCTTGAAATCAGGGGCCAGGAGCTTCGGTAAAGCCACCCAAACATGCCCAGGATGAAAAGAAGATTAAAATATCTTTTCCCTTTTTAACCCACTTTGAAAAGCCAAGCACAGTTTTAATTCCTTTGGGAGGGGGGTGTGACTATAATAACTTGAGCCATTACTTATTCCTTATTTGCTTGATTCCAAAATTGGGCCCTTCACAAAACTGCCTGGGGAAGCAAGTACACAGAATTAAAACATTAATTATATTATACAAAACATATCATAGCAGCAATTAGAGCAGCTTAAAGGAATGTGTGAAAGAATAAATAGTAGCCTTCGGGTTGCCCCATGGAGTGAAGACCAGATAAGATAAAGGGAAGATATTTTAGTACATACTTACCCCGAGGAGACTGTGCTGGCGGGCACAGGCCCAGAGCAGGCATAGGCTACCCTCTTGGGCCCAGAAGAATACAACGGAGGAGGGGAGCGAGAAGATGGAATAAGGGGACAGTGGCGATATTCAGAGTCACCCCAAAGAGGGAAGCTATGAAAGATTCAGCAGTAGGAGTAGGACAAAGGGTATTAGAAAGAGTGGGGACTAGACCAGCGCCATGGCCTAGTGGTTAAGAGAGACATATTCCATATTCCCATAGCCAACCATAGTTCAAATCCCGGACCTGGCAACCTGAAAAACGAAAAACGTGTTGTGCATGTGTGTGTGTGTGTGCATCCCCAAAGTCCCAGCAAGGTGGAGAGGTGGAGAAGGGATTGGCATGGCCATGCTCTCATTGGGAGATGCTATCTCCCTCTCTCCCCTTCTTTCTCTGTCTCTCTGGCAAGCACACATGCCCTCTGGCAACTAAAAAACAATTTGGGGGGGGGTTCTACAGGTGGTGTGGTGTTGGGGCTCTGGACTCCCAAATGGCTGACCATGGCTCCAGTCTGGAACCCGGCAGCTTGCTTTCTCACTTTCTCACTCTCTCTACTCAAATTTAAATAATAATAATAATAAAATAATTCTTAAAATATTTTTAATGGGGGGGCCGGCAAGTGGCATGGTGGTTAAGGGTGCTGGACTCCCACATGGCCGACCACAGTTCAAGTCTCAGACCTGGTGGCTTGCTTTCTCACTTCCTCTCTCTCTGTCTCTCTCTGATCAAACTGGAAAATAACAATGATAATAATAAATAAAGTTAAATAAAATCATTCTTAAAAAATATTTTTAATGGGAGCCCAAGGTTTTGGAATCACAAAGGAAATGGTTTTTGTAGGGGTGGGGTTTCAGGGCCAGGTGGATGGGGGAGGAGGGTGTTTTGAGGTCCAGTGTCCATGGCGCAGCCAGAATCTGGTGACCAGGGCTTTCTGTCTAACACGCAAATCCAGTCGTATTGCTCCCAGTTGAAGTGACTCTCAGGATCCTCACTCTGTAACAGGGCTGCAAGGCCACAGGTTTCCTGGCCTGCATCTCTACCCTTCCTGCCTGCGTCTCTAACCAGCCATCCTGCCTGCCTTCCACTGGATGCTCCAGCCCCACTCCCCTGGTGCGCATTGCCACCTCTGCCTGAAAGCCCTGCTCCCGCTCTCCTTTCACTTGGCCAACTCCTTCTCATCCTTCAAGGCTCAGCTCCAGACCCCGCCTCTGGAAGAGCCTATCCAGCAGCCAGCCTGGAACGCGCACTCCTACCTCCTTGTGGTGTCTCAGAACCCCAGAGCGGCTTACCTAAGCAAGACTCAGCCAGAACGCGTTGTATTTCAGGTATTCTGTTTACTTTGGAACCAGTGCAGTGAGGCGACTCAACTCGGTGGGGCATAATAATGAAGCATTTCTTCCCCTAATCTCTGCCTTCAGCCATGCTGTGTTGAATCTCCTTTTTCCATCCCTTAATGACATCTTGGGCAGATTGCATTACTTTTGGATCACGTTCTGCTTTTAAACCTCCATCCTTTAAAGCTTTATTCTCAGACTCATTTAAACCTCATTTCATCTTCCCCTTTACTCATCCAAGGGCTGCGTTTAGCCAGGATTCTGTCCCCAGCCTGCTTGGAGTAAAGGGGGGGGGGGCAGGAGACTGAGATGGCTTAGGGGGGGACA